CCACTCATACGAAATCCGCTCTATATAGCTACTGGATTAGGAATTACCTCCATCAGGATCACTGGCTGTCGCTGTCACTACACTGGCCGCTCCGTTATTTTCCACAACTGTTGCCGAGTATGGCGCYGAGCTGAATGAAGGGTTTTCATTGATATCATTGACAGAAACAATGACTGTTGCTGTATCGTATAGTCCTGCAATATCTGTGGCTTTTAACGACAAAGTGTATGTTGATTTGGTTTCGAAGTTCAGGCTTCCAGCGACTTCGATGGTCCCTGTACTCAACACACTAAAGCTTGATGAACCTGTGAAAGAACAAAAGAATTGTATGTCATTCGTGCGGGATCCCTGTGCTTTTTCGTTTTGGGCTTCCTTTAGCGAATCCWTGCCATATATAGAAATAGAAAATGGCTGATTGTTCAGTGTTTTCGCTATAATATCTGCAAGTTTTCAGACGATTCAAGCATTATAAGTCGAGAAAATCGCCAAAAACCAGTCCACACGTACTTCAAAATAAGGTAAGATTATACCAAATATGGCTGGCAAACGAAGGACAGCAACTTTTATAGGGCAATTCTTTGATATGCTTGAAATATTGTGAATGTCGCAACGCGATTCGCGAACGGAGGACTTACCAACTCCTGAGATCGCGTAAGTTAAGTTATCACCACTATCCACATCGTTGGCAGTRACAGTGATAATATCAACGCCATTAGCGCTGTTCTCGTTCACATTTGCTGTGTAAGTTGAATGCTGGAATGATGGTGCCTCATTGACGTTAACTACATTGATGTTCACAATGGCTGTTGTTGTATCTCCTGATGAAAAATTTGTAACACTAGTTGTTAGTAGCAAAAAGGAAAAGAAGGAAGGAAGCTAGGAAGGAAGGAAGGAAGGAAGGAAGGAAAGAAAGAATGAAAAAAGGAAGGATTTAAGGAATTAAGGAAGGAAGGAAGAAGAATATCATCATTCAATTTGTAATTTCTTCGACTCCAAAGTACAACACAGAAAGGCGTCATTTTGAAGGGTTAAGGGACACTGTTAGAGTCAATTTCGTATGAGTGGGAAACGGACGGTACTGTACTCTAACCGTACTCGTAGGCTGTAACCAAATTCTAGTTCCCCATTGGTTCACAAAAATTGTGCAGGCCAGRTCCGGTAACTGTGCGGTAACCGTGCGGTAATTTCTACCGTACGTTTCCCACTCATACGAAATTGACTCTAAGATATTTCGCTTACTGTCTTCCAATGTAGTATATTCGATTTTACAGTACGTAATTTGGTTATAGTTTCGGAAATCCTTTGACAGTTAAGTGATAAATGTGCACAAACTCACCATTGGCAGAAGCTTGAATTGTGAGCGAATATGAACTAGTCGTCTCATAATCAATAGTAAGTCCATTTGTCAGTACTTTAGTGCCGTCGCTTTTCAGCTTAAATGGCCCTGGCGAGCTGATAATGCTGTATGTGATTGCATCACCATCACTATCGGTAGCTGAGATGGTAACACCACTGACCGTCGTGTCTGCAGCAGAGTTTTCATTGACTGTACCTGTGTACGTGGACGAGCCAAATGCTGGGGCAGCWCCTATGATTCATTTMATTTATATYAATTGTTAAAGTGAAGTCACAGAACTCAGTGAAAACTCAAAGAAAATCTAATACTCAAAGTGTGATTTCTCAAATACTAGGCAAAAGCGAATAAAGAAATATATCTATTGTTCTAGAGTATTCAGACGTCTACCATCATACTCAAGTGTAATAGCTAGTGTTCAATATCCCGGTGAATGGTTGACTGCTAGCAGTGTACTTTGAAAATAGAGACGACAGTTTTGGTGAGCCACGGTACCTAAATACGATTGGACACGGGTGTAGACTAAATTTCTAATGTATTCAATTATTACTTCTGTACTTTAGTTCGGTTCTTTATCAATATATCATAAATACTACTATTTCCAATGTATTTGTTGTAGTGTGGTTCCAATAAGGCGTGAGTAAACACTTTGTGATCAAAAYCTTTAGTTGTGGAACGTTACGTGACGTTAAGTTACGAGTATAAAAGCCATATTACACACTGGCTTGTACTACTCGTTTGCCATATCACATTATGAAATAATAAGCAAACTTCATTATCTTCTTTTGAACATGTTTTTGTTTAAGTTCAGTATTAAAGTTAGCTCTTTGAACGTTAATGTTACTCCTTGCAGAAACAAGTATAACTAGTACGTAGTTAACTTCACTTACCATGAACGTTTGCCACGAGACTTATCAATGTCCAAGCCAGTAAAACAACCGCATTTGTATTAAACCATCCCATTGTAAAAAGGTCCAAAGTAACTCATTCTATTAGTTATATATAGGCCATGCCCAAAGATAAGATAAGGAGTCAAATACCATCGCCATCTCTGTCGTGCAAACATCGATGGAAGTTTTAATTATTATTGACAAGTAATCCTATGGAGCTTAATGAGAGTCATAGTCAACAAAAGGCAGTGGATTATAATAGAAAGTCATTAAACCATTGTGAATATTAACATGCGGATTGGTTGTCATGGAAGTGCGCTTGCATGCTGTGCGCTCTCTTTTCCGCGCCGTCTCACCTTTTAAAGCCTCTTGATTTGATTTATTTATGCCCGTTCAAAGAGACTATATAGCAATCAAAATGACTGAAAAATTAAGAAAGGCATCTTAAATGATATTGCTCTTTTTGCATCGATAAGCTCAGGCTTCGGAATAAATAAAGGGTTTCCAAATTTAAAATTCACTGATATTCCATTTAACATGAGTTGAGGATAATGTTACTAAATACATATGCTCAGAAACTTACATTTTTGGCGATATTACTTATGACATTCTTTAATCTTTGTTCCTCAAAGAAGCATTTTTTGTTTGTTGATAAACCGTTATCGTTGTTTCGAGCATCGAAACAAGCTCGCGCTAGTAAATTGAATTTGTGCGCGGGACAATTTTATGTAATTTAGTTTGTTCTTCCAACTATTTCTATATTATATTCTGACTTTTTTAAAAAWTTATCAGGTTTGGTCCTGCTTTTTTCCTGTTTTCTTCCGCTAAATCTGCAATTGTGGTTCTCTTCAACCTTTTCAACGCGGTGACAATTCGCGTGTGCTTGGGCTTCCTGTTGAACTCGGGGTCGAGGTAGCGTCGTGTGACGTCATACTTCTAAGAAGAAGAAAGATGGCGGAACGGTCTCAGTGTTATTGTATTTGTCGAAAACCTTATGACAGCTCGCAGTTTATGATAGGATGTGATTCTTGTGGAGAGTGGTTCCATGGAAGGTAGACTTAAGTCGTATTTACTTATTAAGATGTTTAAGATTTAATTAATGACTGTATTATTTGGCTCTAGTTGTGTGGGAATACAAGAGCACCAAGCKTCGGATATCGAACGGTACCATTGTCCAAACTGCAGCGCTGTACATGGCCCACTCACGCGTGAGTTCACTTTTAAGCGTTTTCACATAATGTATGACATATTTATGTCCACTTTGTTGAATTCTTTGCAATATTCAAGGAAAGTTGTGGAAGAATTAGACGAAAACAATGTTCGTGAGGTCACTTAGAACTTTTGACGGAATGGAGTCATTTCTGCTACGGATATCTCATTAGTGTTTGCTTGTTCCTTCATTTGATTGCCAATACACATACATAACTCATTCGTTTTGTTTTATTTTCTATTATCTACCACTTTTTTCTGACATTTTAAAAAGATTTGACAATGCGCTTCCTCTTTCACTCATTTCAGAAAAAAAAATTGTTTTCAATAATAATGGAATGCCGGAATTCTCAGATGTAGTAATAGTGAAAGGTCTAGCCCAAACAAATCGGAAAGGCACGCGAAATATCACTAATTTACTATTTTGTGTTTATTAAATTAGATTTTTTTAACGGGTTTGTACATGGACTTCCGATTTTCTCAAATACTGACACGTGCTTTGTATTTGCACAAGTAAACATGCCCTCATTCTTATAACGACGGATGACTTTAAATCACTTTAAAGGGCAGATTTTCAGAAAGCAAAGATGCTGGCGTCGTTTACATGAAATAATACGTGGTACTTAAATATTCTATGTTTTGCTWTTCGAAGAGGAAKAATTGTTTTAAAAATATTTGACATTCAAATTSTCGAGCTACAAGTGCCCGGCACGTCTATTTCAGTGATCAAAAATTTAACTTAAAACCAAAATTAACCAAACATAGAGTTAGACAACGCTCAAAATAAATTGTTTATTATAATATGGTAACTCTATTTTATTAACAATGATAGTTGTTCTAGTTATAAAACCAATATTTGTCTTTGTTTATATTAGTTAAAAAGAGAAGAAATTGGCACAGGCATGATTACAGCGAGATTGACGATGGTTCAAAGGTAGCCTAATTATTATATGTAATTGTATCACTATGATTTAAGCAAGCTCACCCTCAAAATGAGTTTTAAACTCATTCAAAGATCTTTAAGTTTAAGTTCTGAGTTGGTTTGTGGTATGAATGTACAATGTTATTCCTATGGAAAATCCTCTTATTTTTTGTCAGGTTTTTATCAGTCCATCAATAAAATGTTGTATTCTTTGTAATAGTTCAAATGATTTCTTTTCTTCWCAGGCTGTACAGACTGGGACAGTACTGTTCATCAATAATTTGAAAAATAAAAAGTTCTTGAGGTAAACTGTAATAAATAAGAACGTCCCATAAAAGAAACGCTAGGACTGACAAATGTGCTATATAATGTGATGTATTATACAATGGCACACTTGCTGGTGGAAACCTAGAAGGATGTCTAATTAAGAAATATAAAACGGTGTGCACATCTTTGTCCTCTGATATAACACGGTCAGGAGTTGAAAAACACCAGAGAAGCAAGCTTAGAAACACAAGTGTAGCGAGTGTTTCTCTTGCTCTCGAGGTCTTTTTAACTCCCAGCGTATTAATATCAGAGGACAGAGACATTAGCAGCCATTCTTTTATAAAATTTTTCCACGTTTTTTGAGCGAATAACAAATTTTGCTGATAAGCCGTGTCTCCTGTGCCTCTGTTATAAACATGGTCGTCATCCAATCAGAGCAGGTCTTATATATCAAAAATTTTATAAAACCAAATTAAAAACATAACATTCTTTGATTTCAAAATGTTAACATTCTCTTTTTTATCTCAGTTCAAAAGATGCCGTTGTCAGTGTTGCTGGCAAGGATTTGACAATGGAGTATTTTGAGAGGAATGGTTTTAATAAACCTATTCTAATAAACAAGAAGGATGACTTAGGGTTGGTTGTACCTCATCCGGACTTTACTGTTTTGGATGTTGAAAGATATATTGGTATGTGATGAAACAATACATGTATATTTTACAATGTAAAGTCTTGTCAATATCATTTTTCAAATTTTATGAAATCACACTTTCCAATGTTTTTGGATGTTTTTGGACTTATTAACTGTTATAACTATACTAGCAAGAGTTTAAGTGGGAGAAAGAAACCTCGTTTTAGTATATCCAGTACCCCTGTAGATTACAAGACATCTTCTTCCATGCAAGGTTCTCATTAGAAGCAAGCAGTCGGTGAAAATCACTGGTTATAGCTTAATTAATTGCCGACTACTTACAAATTTATTCTTGAATTATTTGGCTGTACTTTTCCTATTATTTAGCTCACCTCTTTTTTGGTGCTTGGTAATTCTCGCCCCGGAGCTTGTTAGCAAGAAAACAAAATGGCAGAAAAATCAAGATGGGAGACGTTTATTGAAGAAACTCAAAAACAGAAGAAACAATACATTTTTCGGTGCTCCCTTGTTTTGATGGGTACTTTTCCTATTTTGACTTCTACTTTCATTTCTACTGAGAACCGTGCCATACCCTTTCAATGTTATATATTAATGTTAAGTTTTAATAGTACAATGGATTTTAAAAATTGATATTGGTTGTTGCTTGTGTTTATTCAGGATCAATGAAAGAACTGGATGTGATAGATGTCTGTAAACAGGTATAACTCAACAAACTCTAGACCTGTTATCTTGGGGTTCATTTTATCTTCAGTTGAAACATATTTCTTGGCATCCATTACAAACTACAGTACTGTACTTTAATAGTTGATTTTGGGTCAAATTTTAGGAGGATATTAAAATGGTAATGCGAGAATGGACAGAATATTACATGAATCTTGCAAGAAAGAAAACTTTGAATGTCATTAGCTTGGAGTTTTCTAAAACTGGGTAAGTTTTGTAACTATGTACCCAGTACTGTAACTCATGCCAATTTAATTCTAGTTAACTTAACTCTTCTTTGGAAATGTTTGCAGAGATCTTTCTTTTGGCTGTAAAACTTTCTATTTTTCTTTTTAAGTTTGTCACCATTAGTCCARGTTCCTACAATAGTAAGAGAAATGGACTGGTTRAACCATGTCTGGCCCACTGATCTCCCWGAGGACAGTCCTCACAAACGACCTTTTGTACAGAAGTATTGTCTAATGAGTGTCAAGAATTGCTAYACTGATTTTCATGTTGACTTTGGTGGTACTTCAGTGTGGTATCATATTCTCAGGGTAGGTTTAAATGTTATCAGCTGATGTTTTATTCATCATTGTTCTATCCAGGATTAGCTTTGGGTCTATATGGTCTCCTCAACTCACTTTGGAGGGCATTGGATTTTAAGTAATCCCCTACATTGTTTTCATTTCATGTATGCATTTGATTCTCCATTTGCTCATAAACTCATAAACTCTCATAAACTGACAGCTCCAATTATGAACAGCTTTCCAAAACCCTGTATTATTTGTCCTTGAGTAACTCCATACAAACACTGTATATTTGAACACTTCCTTATATAGGCACTGAGATAGCTCTGACCCCCCAAAAAAACACTTTTTATTGCCCAAGGGTGTCTGCTTGTTGAACCTGTTTCAACTGTAATGAATTGTAATTTAAGGAAAGTTTTGGTACATCTGTGTACACAAAAAGATAAATTTAACACCGCAAAAAAGTAGGTGAAATAACTTACTTGACATTTCGGACATTAATCCTTTGTCTAAGTAAAGGTACATCTTTATAACTGGCTGCTGGCCGCCCCATTGCCGGATTAGCTCGCTAGTGGCAATTAATTTATTTAAAGATTAAAGATAACATAGCTGATTAATTTTATTTTCCACTTTGTAGGGGGAGAAGGTGTTCTACTTTGTTGAGCCCACTCCAGCCAATCTAGAGCAATACCATAAATGGGTGATATCTCCCTGTCAAAGTGAGATGTTCTTTGGTAATATGGTGAACAAGTGTTACAAAGTACACATCAAACAAGGACAAACTCTCTTCATACCAACAGGTA